GGGCCTACCAGGTCCAAGAATCTGGAATTATTCCTAAGAATCATTGAAAGTAGAGTAATCATGTTATATTGCCATGGCTCAGAAACACACTCTCAGTGTGCTTTGCAGAGCTCATTTGGATAACCCCAACCTGGGACTATTTAGAAGCTGATATTCCCATACATGTGTATGGACATAGGTTGCGTCAAAGAAAATGGAAATCTTGTTCTCAACTCTTCAACACAGTGCAATAAAGCAGGTGTAAATGAGTGAATGCCTAAAAGCTCTACTCACTAACAAGTTGTAGAACCAGAAGCCGATATTCCCAGTAAGCATGTATTGTACTATGGGGAAAAGCAAACCTAAATGCCTTGTCTGAGAGCTCACAACTTTTGCAGACCTCTGCAACTCCAATTGTTCAGTAACTCAAAATGAATTGCCTTGCCAAACTCCATACATGTAGAAGAAATCATGTAGAATTCAGAAGCAGATATTAACCGGGAACACCTTGGATCTGCTGCGTCCAAGAATCTGCAATTGGATCAAGAATATGTGCTATATATACACAATGGAATTCTATGCCTCTATCAGAAAGAATGACATTGCCCCATTTATTAGGAATCGGAAAGACTTAGGAAAAATTATATTAAATGAAGTGAGCCAAGCCCAAAGAAACATAGGTCCCATGGTTTCCCTTATTTGCAATAACTAGTATATATCTGAGTGAAGCAGAAAAGGTCAGATAAATTGATGTTAAGGAAATGAACCCTAAGATATGTATTCAAATGGTTTTTTCTTTCATGCAATTGTTTCTTACACATTTATAAGATTATTTCTTTGTTGCTTTGTATGTCCCTCCCCCATGGTATAACCCCTGTTTTCACTGTATTTGAGGTTGGTATAATTTGTGGAGGGGAAGGGAAAAAAACAAATCGTTTAAATAGGGATACAGGTAGATCCATTGCAACAATGAGATGTACAAGTCGTTATGTGGAAAAACGAACTTTCCAACTTTGGTGGGGGGGAGGAGGATTTGGTGGGGGGAGGAGAATGGGAAGGGATGGGAAGGGGAAACAAAGGAGAAGGCTACAATGCTTGACAATAAATGTACTCATTATCTTGCTCATGTAATTGTAACCCCTCTGTGCAGTATTTTCACAATTAAAAAAATGTTAGAAACAAAAGAAAGAAAGAAAAAAACACTGTGTCCTTATCTTGGGGGTCATTTCACCTAACATCATCTTATCTGACCTTTCTTAAGTGAAGTAAGCCAGGCCTAAGTTTCTTTGGGCCTGGCTTACTTCACTTAATATAATTTTTTTCAAGTCTTTCCATTTACTAACAAATGGGGCAATGGCATTCTTTCTCATGGAGGAATAGAATTCCATTGTGTATATATACCGGATTTTCTTGATCCATTCATGTACTGAGGGGAATCTGGGTTGGTTCCATATCTTATCTATGGTAAATAATGCTGCAATAAACATAGTCGTGCTCCTAGCTTTAGTGTGGCCTTGTTTGTGATCATTTGGGTAAATGTCCAAAAGTGGGATTACTGGGTCATAGGGGAGCTCTATGAGGAACCTCCATACTGTTTTCCAAAGTGGTTGAACAATTTTACACTCTCACCAACAATGAAGTAAGGTTCCCTTCTGTCCACATCCATTCCAGCATCTGTTGTTATTAGAGTTCTTGATTCTAGCCATTCTAACTGGGGTGAGGTGGTATCTCAATGTTGTTTTGATTTGCATTTCTTTTATGGCTAGGGAGGTTGATCATTTCTTCATGTGTCTATTGGCCATCCTTCTTTCCTCTTCAGAGAAGTTTCTCTTTCAGTCTTTAGCCCACTTATTTATTGGGCAGTTGTTTCTTTGAAGATTTGTTATTGGGGGATTTAATTTTTTGTCTGTTGTAAGGCTAGTAAAGATCTTCTCCCAATCCGTGGGCTTTCTATTGATCTTGCTAGCTATGTCATTTACCATGCAGAAGCTCTGCAATTTCATGCAATCCCATTTGTCCAACCTTTCTTTGATTTGTTGTGTTTCTGGGTCTCTATTAAGAAAATTTTGGCCTGTGCCAAGGAGTCCTATGGTTTCTCCTATTCCATCCTGCAATATTTTCAGGGTGTCTACTTTGACTCTGAAGTCTTTGATCCATTTGGAGTTGAATTGTTTCTAACATATTTATAAGGTGATTTTTGGTTGCTTTATACATCCCTCCTCCACAGTATAACCCCTGTTTTCACTGTATTTGATGTTGGTTTAATTTGGGGAGCAAAAGGGAAAAAATTGTTTGAATAGGGATATAGGTGGACCCATTGCAACAATGAGATGTACAAAATGTATGTTGAAAAACAAACTTTACAATTTTGATTGGGGAGGGACATGGAGGGAGTATAGACATGGAGATGGGAGGGCAGGGATGGTCAGGGAAAAACAAAGGAGGAGGTAACAATGCTTGATAAGAAATGTACTTATTAACTTGTTCATGTAATTACAACCCCTCTGTACTGTATTTTCCCAATAAAAAATACTTACTAAAAAATCTGCCATTCTTCCTATGTACCATTGAAAGCAGAGAAATACTGTTATGTTGCCATGGTTCAGAAAAACATTTTCAGTGTGCCTGGCTGAGGTCATTTGGCTAAAATCCAACCATGGAGTATTTAGAAGCTGATATTTCCAGTCCTTTTATATACATATGTATGTACATAGGTCGGGTCAAAGAAAATGGAAGTGTTGTTTTCAAATCTTCAACCCTGTGCATTAAGGAGAGGTTCACCTTACTCAGCAGGATGAACTGAGTAAATGTCTAAAAGCTCCACTCACCAATACCCACATTGCAGGAACGAGAAGCAGATGTTTCCAATAAGCAGGTATCCTCCTATGGGGAAAAGCTAAACTGAATGTTGCATCTGATCGCTTGCAACAGCTTCAGAGCTCTGCAACTGCAATTGTTCAGAAATTCAAATTGAACAGCTTCACCAAACTTCAAATGGCTAGAAGAAACCAGGTAGAATTCAGAAGCAGATATTACCCGGGACCACCTGGGGGCCTACTGGGTCCACAATCTGGAATTCTTCCGAAGAAGAATTGAAAGCTGAGAAATGCTTTATATTGCCCTGACTCAGAAACACTTTCTCAGTGGCTGGCAGAGGTCATTTGGCTAACACCAAACGGAATATTTAGAAGCTGATAATTCCAGTCGGCATCTAATCATAGGTATGGACATAGGTCGCGTCAAAGAAAATGGAAATCTTGTTCTCAAATCTTCAACACTGTGCAATAAGACAAGGTTCAATTATTCAACAGGATGGACTCAGCGAATGCCTAAAAGCTCTACACATGAATACCCACATTGCAGAAATGAGAATCAGATGTTTCCAATAAGAAGGTATCATCCTATGGGGAAAGCAAAATTCAATGCCTCATCTGAATGCTTGGAAGCGCTGCAGTGCTCTGCAACTCCAGCTGTTCAGCAATTCAAACTGAATTGCTTTGCCATACAAACACATAGAAGAAATGTCGTAGTCTTCAGAAGTAGATATTAACCAGAAGCACCTATGGCCTACCAGGTCCAAGAATCTGCAATTCTTCCTCAGAATCATTGAAATCATAGAAATGCTGTTATGTTGTGATGGCTCAGAAACTCATTCTTTGCATGTCCGGTCATTCAGCTAACAACAACGGTGGAGAATTTAGAAACATATTTGCAGTCCACATCCATACATACATATGGATATAGGTCAGTGAAAGAAAATGGGAGTCTTTTTCTCAAATCTTCAACACAGTTAATTAAGGTAAGGTTAATATTACTCAGCAGGTTGAAATGAGTGAATGCCTAGAAGTTCTATTCACCAATAGACAAGTTGTAAAAAGCAGAAGCAGATTTTCCCAATGAGCATGTATTGTCTTATGCGAAAAGAAAACCTGAATGCCTTGTCCAAATGCTTGCAACAGCTGCAGAAGTCTGCAACTCCAATTGTTCAGCAATCCAAATTGAATTCCTTTGCTAAACTTCAAGTGGGTAGAAGAAACCACATAGAATTCAGAGGCAGATATTATCCGGGACAACCTGTGGCCTACTGGGTCCAAGAATCTGCCATTCTTCCTAAGAAGTATTCAAAGCAAAGAAGTGCTGTTATGTTGCAATGGCTCAGAAACTCATTCCCACTGTCTCCAGCAGAGGTCATTTGGGCTAACACAACAGGGTAGTATACGTAAACAGTGTAGGATATGCTTCCATATGTATGTATGAATAAAAGTCAGTGAAAGAAAATGGAAGTTTAGTTCTCAAATCTTCAACACAGTGTAATACGTCGAGGTTGAACTTACTCCACAGTTTAAAATGAGTTATGTGGAGAGCTGCGACCAAAGACGGCTGCAAAAGCAACATTGTAGCTCCTTGGTTCAAAGCGCGGCCACAAAAATGGCGGGGCCGCGTGGCGCGGCTCCGACCTAAGATGGCGCTGGCTCCCGCCTTCCGTCTTCCCGGTGACGAGTCCTCTCTGTAAAAAACAACTCCTTATATGGCTATGACTTGGCTCCTAGTTTGTTTCCGTGTTTGCAGCCCTATCGGTATATGCCATGTGGCACTTCGGGATTGGCCATCCAGGAGGCTTATAACCGGAGCGCGGGGGCGGATGGGAAGGAGAAGCAAGAAGAAGCAGGAAGAAGCGGGCAGAAGCAAGTGGGAGAGAAGCTGTAAACAAGGTTCCTGAATAAACCGCATTGAGAAGAATCCCGGGTCGCGTCTTCCTTGCTGGTCGAGGTGGTCACGACAGCTGGCAGCCCGTACGGGGATTCAGAACTCTCTGCGGTCAGGGTGGTGCACTGGTAAGTTCCCAGGAAAAGGGGGAATCCGTGACAAGAGCGGGGGTAAGTTCCCAGGTGAAGTAGGAATCCGCGATTAAAGCGGGCATAATACGGGGCTCTTCTCTGTAGATAAAAGAGAGAGCGGAAACCTGGGAAGAAATAAAATACAGGCCTAAAGTAATAAAAAATAAAATTTTTAGAACTAAGATGGGCGCTGTGACGTCACATCCAATTTTTCTGGCCCTGGAAGAGCTACTACGCTCAAAAGGACTAAAGTTAAAAAAGACTACTTTACAGGGGTTCCTTGAGGAATGCAACATTGTAGCTCCTTGGTTCATAGTCTCCGGGAGCCTTACAATAGCCTCCTGGGACAAATTAGGGAGGGATTTGGACTTTGCCTATGAACAGGGCACATTAAAGGCAGGAGTCTGCCCCATTTGGAGATTGATTAGTGGCTGCCTGGAGGATCAGAGCTGCTGTGAGGTTATAGAAAATGGACAGTCAGCACTGGAGCAGTTACAGGAGGAAAGGTCAGAGAAGGCGATCAGTGAAAAGGGAAACAGTGAACAGGGCAAAAGGGGGCGACTATACCCAGATCTGTCCGAGCTAAAATCGGAAAGAGGGAGTCCCAGCGAGTCAGAGGAGGAAGAAGTGAGAGCACTTATTCAACAGATGAAAAGGAGCCGTATAAAACAAGGGGAACGTAAGCTAAGCCAACCTGCACTTAATGAGGACGTAGAAAGAACTTCCGGTTGGACCCCTTTAGCTCCTCCTCCATATCAACATGGAGCCAATGGGCACAAGTTTTGCCCAGACACATGGCAAACTGCTCAAGCAGAACTCGCCTTCCCAGTTTTTCAAGACAATAATCAACAGAGATTCCATGAGCCTCTAGAATTTAAAGTAATTAAGTCCCTGGCTGAGTCTGTTCGGACATATGGGATTACAGCCTCTTTTACCGTGGCTCAAGTGGAAGCTATAAAGAGATACTGCATGACCCCCTCTGATTGGGCGAGTCTAGCACGGGCATGTTTGAGTCCAGGCCAATACTTGGATTGGAGGGCATTTATGCTGGAATTTTGTAATGACCAGGCAGCCATCAATCAAGCGAACGGACGCCAGGCTTGGGACAGAGACATGCTCCTAGGACAAGGTCGCTTTGCTAATGCTCAGACAGGATATCCCCCTGAAGTCTATCAACAAATAAATGATGTTTGCATTAAGGCGTGGAAATCACTACCAAATAAGGGGGAAGTTAGCGGCAATCTCACCAAGATCCTGCAGGGGGCTACCGAGCCTTTTTCAGATTTTGTGGCCAGAATGGTGGAAGCAGCAGGCAGAATTTTTGGGGATCCTGACATGGCTATGCCTCTTATAAAACAATTAGTTTTTGAGCAATGCACTAAAGAATGCAAAGCCGCCATTACCCCGTATAAACATAGAGGGTTGGAGGCATGGATGAAAGTGTGCAGGGAGCTGGGAGGACCTCTAACTAATGCAGGCCTTGCCACCGCAGTACTCCAGTATTCAAATAGGCAGGGGGGGGGAGTTCTGGAGTGACATCTGGAGCATGCTTCAAGTGTGGCAAGGCTGGTCATTTTAAGAGAGATTGCCCAGAGAGAAAAGGAACCAGAAGGGCTGGAGGAGTTATAACGGGCAAACAGCCAGGGCTGTGCCCCAGATGTAAAAAGGGAAAGCATTGGGCCAATGAATGTAGATCAGTCAAAGATGTTAACGGCCAGTTCTTGGGCCCCATCACGCAGCCAAAAAATGGGCAGAGGGGCCCCCGTCCCCAGGGCCCGCAAATGTATGGGGCAATGGAGAGCCCAAACGAGGAAATTTCCCAAGAAGGATGGCCTACCCTGAGGCATCCCAAGACCCGCGGAGAGCCACTACAGGCTCGGCGGGACTAGACCTCCGCGCCACCACCAGACTCGTACTAACCCCGCAAATGGGCGTTCAGTTAATAGAGTCAGATTTTCAAGGTCCTCTAGAACGGGGCACAGTGGGGTTATTACTTGGCCGGTCTTCCGTTACTCTTAGAGGGCTTAAAATTCACCCAGGAGTTATTGACCCAGATTATACAGGTATAGTTAAAGCCATGGTAGAAGCTCCAAAAGACATTATAGCAATTTCCCCTGGAGACAGAATTGCCCAATGGTTACTCCTGCCTAGCCTACATGAAAAATTTCCTGCCATACAGTCTGAGAGAGGTAAAAAGGGTTTTGGCTCCTCCGGAATTGAGTCAGTGTACCTAGCCCTGGACTTAGACCAGAGACCCACCGCTTGAGCTGGAGATTGAAGGAAAAAGGATTATAGCACTGTTAGACACAGGGGCCGATCGTAGCGTTATTGCAAAAAAGGATTGGCCGAAAGGGTGGCCATTATAGGCCTCAGGACAAACCCTGAGAGGGTTGGGCTATGCCAAAGCTCCTGACTTAAGTGCAAGACCCCTCAACTGGAAGGATGGAGAAGGACACTCTGGAAACATCCAGCCTTATGTTTTAGAATTGCCTGTCTCCCTGTGGGGTCGAGATTTACTAAAAGAGATGGGGTTTTGCCTTAGTAATGAATATTCTCCTACCTCAAAGGAAATGATGTTACAAATGGGCTACTGCCCATGGCAAGGACTGGGAAAAAACTTGCAAGGCTGTAAAGAGCCTATTGATGTCCACCAAAAACTTGATAGACATGGGCTGGGTTTTTCATGGGGCCGCTGAGAATCAAGTTCCCATTACCTGGAAGATGGAGGAACCGGTATGGGTAGCTCAGTGGCCTCTATCCTCCGAAAAGCTTTTAGCAGCTCATAAACTGGTAGAAGAACAAGTAGCCCTGGGCCATGTGAGACCCTCAGTTTCACCATGGAATACTCCAATATTTGTGATAAAAAAAAAAGTCGGGTAAATGGCGATTACTTCATGATTTGCGTGCCATAAACGCACAAATGCAAATTATGGGCCCTGTACAAAGAGGGTTACCTTTGCTTTCCGCACTCCCTGCCCATTGGCCTATTATGGTAATAGATATAAAAGATTGTTTCTTTTCTATCCCCTTGCATTCCGCTGATTGTGAGCACATTGCCTTTACTGTGTCCTCTTGTAACCATGAGGAACCTGACCAAAGATATGAGTGGGTCGTGCTGCCTCAGGGTATGGCCAACAGCCCCACTATGTGTCAGCTGTTTGTCGGCAGGGCTATAGCTCCTGTTAAAGAACGGCATCCTAAACTCAGGGTGGTCCATTATATGGATGACATTTTGATAGCTCATAAGGAAGAAGCTGGGTTACAAAAGGCCTATGCAGAATTGGTTTTTGCCTTAAGGGAACAGGGTCTTTATCCAGTGCCAGAAAAAATACAAACAGGCAGAGTGGTGGAGTATCTGGGAGCTAAGATACATCCCAGGTCGATCATGCCCCAAAAATTGACCCTGAGAAAAGATAACTTAAAGACTTTAAATGATTTTCAAAAATTGTTGGGGGATATTAATTGGATAAGGGGGTATTTGAAATTGCCAAATTATGAATTAAAACCCTTATTTGATATGT